TAAACTCTCAAGCTTGCCTTCAAGGCCCTCCAGCTTCAATCCTTCAGTTCTTTTCTCTCTCCTCTTTTAATATAGCCCTTTAAAGGGATTCCCTATTTGCTCTCACCTCTATCCCAAATGAGCCTGAAAGCAGAGACAATGCCTGTCTTGTCCACCACTGTACCTTCCTGGAGCTAGTAAAACAATAGTGCCTGGCATGGTTAGTGCTCAATAAATAGCTGACGGAATATTATTTCCAAGCAAGAGGAAATCAAATACACAGTACACTTCTGGCTACCAACAGGTTAGATATCTAGAAAAACAAAGTAGGAATAAGATTTCTGGTGGCTTTTTTTCCCCTTTATAGAAGGAAAATGAAACTTATCCATCCGTGTGTACAATTTACATATTTTCCTTGAGCAAAAATGACACCAAGTGAGTTGCATTCAGGTGCTGATCTAAATGATTTCTTAATAATCCTCACAGCACACCTGTTTCTAGGGCTTAACCCTGGATTCTGATTCAGTAGGACCCAGCAATCTGTATTTCAAAATAAATACCACAGGTGATTCTTATATCAGGCAAGTTTGGAAATACTTTCTCTGGAGTGATCGCTCTGGGCTGCACAGTGGAATTATCTGGGGAATTATGAAAAATACTGATGCCGCATCTCACTCTCAGAGATACTGATGCAACTGACGTATGGTGCAGTCTGGGCATCTGGATTTTTTTAAAGAAACATATTTTCATTGATTTCAGAAAGGAAGGGAGAGGAAGAGAGAGAGAGAGAGAAACATCAATGATGAGAGAGAATTACTGATCAGCTGCCTCCTGCATGCCCCTTACTGGGGATTGAGCTCACAACCCAGTCACGTGCCCTGAATGGGAATCGAACCATTACCTCCAGGTTTATAGGTCGACTCTCAACCACTGAGCCATGCTGGTGGGCTGGGCATCTGGGTTTTTAAAAGCTCCCTTGGTAACTCTAATATGCAGCCAAAGTGAGAACTACCACTTTAAGGGATTTTCAAAGAGTGGATTACTAACATCCAAAAGCATCTGGGGTACTTCCTAAAAATGCAGACTTCTGGGCTCTTTTTATATTTAGAATCAGAATTTTAAATATGTATGTAGTTGACTTTTTCTGAAAATAGAGTGGCACAAGTTCAAGAACTGCTACTGAAGAACTCATCTAATCCAACTGCCCCCTCTTTTTTTTTTTTTGGTTGGGGAAACCTTAAGAAGGGAAAGGATACGCTCAGAGTCAAATAGTAAGTTCAGCTAGAAACCCACCAAGCCCACCCTGGTCTCCTGCCTCTCAGTCCAATGCTCTTTCCATTGCACATGTTCTTGTGCCATGCTACTATGCCTCTCCTTTCAAAAGGAAGATGATAAATAAGTAAGATGATGAAACTGTTGGTCTCTGTTGGTCATAGGAGCTTGTCTGAGGATAGACATTCAACTGCTTTTTGAATAGCCACCCAGTGATCATAACTTCTCAACAAGAGGGGCCTGAGCCATACCCGTGATTAAGGAGCTGACTTGCAACACCAGGTTATTGGATTTCTCCAGGATGCACTGGCTCTCAGGATCTAGGCTGCTGGCTTCTGGCCCACAAGAGTCCCCATGGCTCTGTTGGCACTGCAAGATCGTCTGAGTCTGAGGACTGAGGGGAAGTAAAGGCTTGGTGAGCTTCTGGCTGAAGTACCTCTGAATCTGATCTAGCTCACTCAGATTCCTCCTGTAAAAAAAAGAAGGGGAGAAGAGGACAAAAGGGTCTTTCACTGAAATTATAGGCATCTTTTATGTTCCCCTGACATTCTACTGCATGAGCTAGGACCTTAATACCTCTCATTTGGTCTATTAATACTAGGGCTCTCTTTCTCTCCAATCTACCAACAACTCATCCTTCACTTCTCTGACTACAATCCCACCACTGGGGACAACTTTCTCCCGCTTCTGTATGGCTTATGCAATTCTTCTGATGCACAGCAAAAACCCTACTTCCTGGTGGGAAACACTCCTGATCATCATTCCTGTCCTCACGCCCTCTACCTGACAGAAAAAGGCCTTCCTCTAGATAACGCTGACCTTTGCTACCTCATAACCATTCCTGATCCTTCAAGGTCTAGCAAGCCTTCCCTGACCACCCTCTAAATTGGTTTAAGGGTCCTCTGTGCTCCACAGTTCTATACACTTCAATCCCATCACTTGTTTGTTTCACATTGATTTCCTCTGAAGAAGTATAAGCTCTCTGCTGATTCCTTTATATATATTACACCTAGCATAGTGCTTGACAAAAATTAAATCAATGTTAAATGGATATAAAAAAAATTACTGTTAACACTATTTTAATAAGTGATGTTTACAAATATATTTTTTAAAATATATTTTCAAGAGAGAAAGAGACTTACAGAAAGTCTGGTGGGTTTTAGGAATGTTCACCATGTGTGCGAGAGTGCTATCAGCATGGAAAGACGGGCCCTTTTTATTCTTACCATTCTCCAGTGAGAAATCACACCAACCACTACCACCTTCATTTGCATAGGATTTAATATTTTATGCTTTCAAATACATTACCTTGTTTAATTCTCAGCCAACCAGATGAGATCAGTAATTACTGTTTTACAAATAAGAAATGTGAGGATCAGAGAATTTAAATGATTTGTTCAGGGTGAGTGGTATGCAACTACTCAGAATTTGGGACTCCAAGTCTTGTGCTTTTTCCATGATAATAGACAGGGATCATTCCTGTCTCACAGCTCTGAATGCTGGAACCTGAGTTCAAGCTACTCCCCCTGCTCTGTCCTTATTCCTTTCAACTTTTAAGGTGCTCACATTTCTCCCTTTCAAAGTCCATCACCCCAAATCATTGGTCCACCTCTCCCTTAAACTCCTTCACTCTTGGCATCTCCATTGACTTGCTGTCTTAGATTTTCCTTTAGTTTTCTCATTATGTGTTAGTTTAGTTTCCCTAACTAGGCCATGAGCATCTGGTAATAGAAGATAATATCTCAAACTTCTCCATTTCTCTAGTATACTCAATGTGCCTGATACAATTGGCACAGCATAGATATTAAATACCTGTGAAGTAAACCAAAAGTCTTTCTATCCTTTTGTTAGGAACAGTCTGCATGTCTTAGAGTCAAATCCAAGCTAAATGAGGGGACAAAGCTGATCCTTATTCTGTCACTAGAAGCCATGACTCTACCAAATCACAGTGGATTTACTTAGGTGTCTATATCTGGGTGTATGCCACATGGATAAATACCTGTAGCAGGAATATGCAAATAAATGTAAACACAGTGAAGCTTTAGAAAATATGCAAACCCAACTGGCCTTGTCAGAGGTTCTGGGTTCAGAACCTACTAATATCAAGCTAAGAATTTCTCATCTGTGAAAAAAGTTTATTAATACTTGCTCTGCAGGCCTCATAGGATTGCTCAAAGAAAATATTCTTTCAGGGCTTTGTGAGCCCAAGGAAGTAATGCAAGATTATCTCCATTCCTCTCTATTTGGTAGAGAGTCACCCTGGTAGCACCAGCATCACCTGAGAACTTGTAAGAAATGCAAATTCTCACGCCCGATGGAATCAGGAATTGTATGGATGGGTCCCAGCAATCTGTTTCAACAAGTCCTTTCATGCAATTCTGACACACACTACATTTTGAGAACTAAAGCTCTAGAACCGTGGTTTTTAGCCTGGCGATTTTGATCCCAAGACGACATCTGGCAAAGTGTGGAGACATTTTTGGTTGTCCCAACTGGGAGAGGGGTGCTACTGGTGTCTAGTGGACAGAGTCCAGGGATGCTGCTAAATATCATGGGATATGCCCCACAGCAAAATATCTGGCCCGAATGTCAACAGTGCTGAGGTTGAGAGAAACTGCTCTAGGTTGAAGGAGAGCTCCTTTTTCTCTTTTTTCAGTGGGTTCTCAAATATGTTACGTGAATGAACTAATAAATATAGTCACACTATGGATGGTTTTACTTAAATAGCCTCAGTCTCCAGCTGAGAATCTAAAATGAGAATCTGGGCCCTAGCTGGTTTGGCTTAGTGGATAGAGCGTCGACTGGGGGACCGAAGGGTCTTGGGTTCAATTCTGGTCAAGGGCATGTACCTTGGTTACAGGCTCTTCCCCAGCCTGGGCCCTGGTTGAGGCTCGTGCAGGAGGCAACCAATTGATGTGTTTCTCTCAGATTGGTATTTCTGTCTGTCTTTCCCTCTCTCTTCTACTCTCTAAAAATCCATGGGGCCCTACCTGGTTTGGCTCAGTAGATAGAGCGTCGGCCTGTGGACTGAAGGGTTCCGGGTTTGATTCCGGTCAAGGGCACATGCCCGAGTTGCAGGCTCTATCCCTAGTAGTGGGCATGCAGAAGGCAATGACTCTCTCTCATCACTAATATTTCTATCTCTCTCTCCCTCTCCCTTCCTTTCTGAAATCAATACAAATATATTATAAAAAAATCAATGGAAAAATATCCTCGGTTGAGGATTAAAAAAATAATAATAAAGTCCTTTTCACTGCACTACACTTCTTATTAGATAATTCAGGGCTGATCCAGATGATCTATAATGGCCCTTCAATTCTCACAGTGCTTCTTTGGCTCAAATGCTGACTAAACTAAGAAAGAGGGAAGCATTACGGGACAGATGCTGGTCTGGAAGAAGTCAGTGGTTGTGAGGCTAAAGATGGTGGACAGAATGAGGCTTTGTAAATTGTAAAGTAGATGAGAGGTTGTGTAGCTATGAGGGTAGTTATAAGTTTGGTGAGTAATCTAAAATTCCTGTATTTACAGTGCATTAATAATAGAGCCTCGTGAAGGAATAAAAGGTCCGAGCTGAGACAGGTTTGCGTATGAGGAAACCTGCGAGACTCCAGGGTCCAATTTGACACTAATGTGCATGAAAGCCCCTATTAAACCTCCCAGAGTGGTGGTAGTTGATGGAAAAGCTGTATTGCAGGTTGACATTGCCCATTCACCTGTGCTCCACTACAGTTTCCTGTGTCTTTTCTCAGCAGAGGGCCTCACCTCAGAGAAGTCAGAATGGAAGTATGGGAAGACCAGGGAGGTGTGGTCAGTTTGTCGTCACTTGGCGAGAATGCCTCTCCCTGCTGCAGGGATTCATGAAATCGGCGGATGTTCTGCACATGCTCTTCATGCCGTGATGCCTGGCTTCTTGCAGCACCACTTCTGTCAGGAATAAATGGGGGCAAATAAATTTCCATCCGATGAGAAAACGCCTAGTGTGACAATAAACAAATCACCTTCCTGAAATGGTATTGCAAATCCATCCCACTACCACAGTTCTGGCTTCATCAACTTCTTGGATTACAACAATCTCCTAAATAATCTTACCTTCAGTATTACCCATTCCTCTTGAATAAGTTTTCCATATTATAGCCTGAGTGATTTTTTGAAAACACAGATCTGAAATAATGAGAACATTTACGGAGTCCTTATTACATGCCAAGCAATGCTTTAAGCATTTAACATGTACTAACCTATTTAATCATCATCATTCCTCTCTAGTTTTGGCTTCTTTTATATCTATAAAACAAATTTCAAATTCCTTAGTAGGGCATTTAAGAACTTGACCCCAGCAATAATCTCTTTATTTTTACTATTATTTAAAAAACTAGAGGCCCGATGCACGAAATTCGTGCATGGGTTGGGTCCCTAGGCCTGGCTGGCGATCATTGGTCTATATTTCTATTCTTATGCCAGTACCACACTGTGTTGTTTACTGTAGATTTGTATTAAGTTCTGAAATCAGGAACTTTGTTTTTTTCAAGACTATTTTGTTTATTGTGTTCCTTGAATTTCCATGTGAATTTTAGGACTAGCTTGCCCATTTCCATAAGGAATCCAGCAGAAATTGTGACAATGCATATTGAATTTGTAGGTCAGTTTGGGCAGTACTGCCATCTTGACAATATTAGTCTTCCAATCATGAACATGGGATGTTTTTTGATGTATTTAGACCTTTAATTTCTTTTAACAATGTTTTGTAGTTTTCAGAGAATAAGTTTTGTAATTTTTTGGTTAAATTTATTAAGTATTTTATCATTTTTTATGCTATTGTAAATGAAATTGTTTTTTTCAATTTCATTTTGGATTACTCATTGCTAATATATAGACACAATTGATTTTGCACATTATATTTTAAAATTTTCTCAGTTTAAATTTCTAATATGGTAAAAAATGATAGATATAACCTATATAAACAAACTGCTTTGAGGTCATCAATAATTTTTAAGAGTATAAAGGTGTTTTGAAGTGGAAATATTTAAGAACCACTGCTTTACTAAGGTATAGCCAGTATATAATAAACCACATATTTAAAATATAGAATATAATGAGTTTTGAGATACATGTATATTTAAGGAATTTATTACCACATCAAGGAAATAAATATATCCATTACCCCTAAAAGTTTCCTTCTATGCTTAGTAACTCCTCCTTCCTTTCAGCTCCATTCATCCTACTTTGTCTTTAGGCAATAGTGATTTGCTTTCTATCACTATAGATTAGAATGTATTTTCTAGAATTTTATGTAAATGAAATAATATAAAGCATATTATTTTTTATTATTTTATTTATTTATTAAATCTTTATTGTTCAGATTACATTTGTTCCTCTTTTTTTCCCCCCCATAACTCCCCTCCTCCCAGTTCCCGCCCCACCCTCCGCCCTCACTCCCCACCCACTGTCCTCATCCATAGGTGCACGATTTTTGTCCAGTCTCTTCCCGCATCTCCCATTCCCCTTTCCCCCCCAAGAATAGTCAGTCCATTCCCTTTCTATGTCCCTGATTCATTATAATCACCAGTTCATTCTGTACATCAGATTATTTATTCACTTGATTCTTAGATTCACTTGTTGATAGATGCATGTTTGTTGTTCACAATTTGTATCTTTACCTTTTTCTTCTTCCTCTTCTTAAAGGATACCTTTCAGCATTTCGTATAATACTGGTTTAGTGGTGATGAACTCCTTTAGCTTTTCCTTATCTGTGAAGCTCTTTATCTGACCTTCAATTTAAAGCATATTATTTTTTGTCTAACTTCTATTTTGATTCATTTTGTTGTAAACCAACATTGCCTTTCTTTTTCTTTTTAAGTTTAATCCACTGTATGAATATACCACAATATGGCTAGCCTTGGATGGTTAGCTAGAATTTGACTTTTTGATATAGCCCTTTGAAGTGGGAACAGAAACATTTTTGTCTGGACAAAAAGCAAACCACTAAACTTGTAGCTTTTACAATTATTAAACAGTGGCCTCACCACTGATCTGTATTTCTGTTCTTGTACAGTACCCTTATCCTACCCTTATGTCTCATGGATGGCTATGATCAAAATAACACCTATAAAATAATAAGAGCAGACTTGAGCTGGTGAGTGTACAATACAATATACCTATGATATATTATAGAACTATATATCTAAAACCTATATAATTTTATTAACCAATGTCACTCCAATAAATTCAATAAAGAAAAAAACAAAACAAACCAGAAATGATCTAAACCTGGGATCTAGGATTTGACAGATACATGGGCTCCCTTTATGCAGAGCACAGAGGCTCTCCTCATGTAGTGAGCAGGCAGAAAGCTACATAGCACTGTAGTGGGCCTTTGAGTGGTGTATTGAAGTATCTTTCTTGGAATAAAAGGTCTACTCAGTAATTGCTGCTGTTGGAGTGGCTGCTGTAGGGGAAGATCCCCTATCTTCTCTCTGAGGTAGAGAGATATTCATGGGAAAGACTGGTAGAGGCAGAAGGATACCAGGGCCTGGAAGAGAGTGGGGGTGGGGAGAAGCAATCTTATTCTTAGACCCTGCCCTTTGACAGGATGAAATATGCTCTAGGCCGATATCCGTATGCATAGCCATGGTTGGCTTGGGTGAAAAGGACGAGCCAGTTGCTTTTTACAAAATAACCTGGCAAATTGGTTTGGGAGGAGAAAGATCATGATATCTTTCTCATACAGCTGATAACTGATTTTAAAGACAAAGGTCACAGGCCTCCGAAGAATACAGAAACATATCTCTTGCCTGAAGCTATTCTTTTATTTTTTAAAAAATATTTTTATTGATTTCAGAGAGGAAGGGAGAGGGAGAGAGAGATAGAAACATCAATGATGAGAGAATCACTGATCAGCTGCCTTCTGCATGCCCGCAACCTGGGCTTGTGCCCTGACCGTGAATTGAACTGTGACCCCTGGCTCATAGGTCAACACTCAACCACTAAGCCATACCAGCTGGGCTAAAGCTATCCTTTTGACAGCAGTAAAGTTCTAGTTCCTATATTATAAAAATGTTTTCATAGGATCTTGAGGTTCCCAGATATTGTGACAGAAGGTCAACAAAGCTCTTTCCCTGTCTTTAGTTTCTTCCTTTAATAAAGGAAAGAGAGAAATGACAAGCCAGCTCGAACACTTCTACACTTTGACTCCATTTCGTTCCATCATCAAGAAATCACTCACCTCCCAGGGGAGGAGAAACCAAGCTCTTTTGAAGAGGTGTGAACAAGTTGTTCTGGAGTCTGTCTAGCAATGCAGCTGGGGAATGCAGCATACACATCAGAGACAGGGAAGGAAAAGGGACGGTATATTGGGATCTGTAGAAGCAATGAAAATAATGGTACACTTGTCATCACAAATCCTTTTGGGACAAAGTAATATAAATAAATTTGTAAAATATATTATATACTTATAAATATAATTTACTTAGTATTTTCTATGTGTTGAGCACTGAACTAAGCAATTTACATGCATTTTCTCATTTAAACTTCACAATAATCTTATGAGATAGATACTGTTATGCCCATTTTACAGACTATACTATTAGGTTGCCTTTTAGTTGCTCTATCTATACATATTTATGATCTTGTTCCTCCAGCTAGTCTGTGAACTCCTGGCTAGACATCGTTTTACATTTACATGTGAGGATAATGTGGCTGTGATATTTCTTATCTGATAGCTACCAGGGTTGATGTGAAAAAAAGTCCTTATTATATAGAGACTGTTTAACTCATCATTTTCTCATGCATGCATGCACGTATTCATTCATTCATTATTTGGTGATGCCCACTCTGTCAGATCCTGAACCAGGCACCCATGACAGAGAGATGCATATGCTACAACCTTTGTGTTGATAGAGCTCCCCTATCTGGGACAGTTTGAAAATTCTCATTTCCTTTATAGTTAAACTCCATGAAAGAGTTGTCTATACTTACTATCATCAATTCCTTCTTCCCAGTCTCTCCCTTTGAATTTTTTTAAAAGGTAGACCAATGATTAAAAAAATATATTTTTATTGATTTCAGAGAGGAAGGGAGAGAGAGAGAGACAGACAAAAACATCAATGATGAGAGAGAATCATTGACTGGCTGCCTCCTGCACGCCCCACATTGGGGATAGAGCCCCCAACCCAGGCATGTGCTTTTACCGGGAATCAAACTGTGACCTCTTGATTCATAGGTTGACATTCAACCACTGAGCCACACAGGCCGGGCGATAGACCAATGATTTTAATGTTAAGAGTTTTAAAAATATTCAACCAATATGATTTCAAATTCACACTGCAACTAATCTTATTTTATTTAAAAACTGAGATATATAGTTCCAGAACATTTTTATCACCTCTAAAAGTTCATGAGGTTATTACAAAACACAAATATATAATGTGTTCTATAAGCTGGAAAGTACTAAATACATATAAAGAATTTTCTTGTAGGTTTTACTCAGTAGAACCCTTTTTGGTTAAGGATGTGAAGTAGGATACATACCAGTGATCCTGGGGTCTCCACCCCACGTCTTGCTTGCCTTTCTTCTTTGAAGTGCATCAAACTCTCCATAGGGGAGACAGCAACTTTTACCTGCCCCTGGCACTCTCCACTGAAGTCTGTGATGTTGTACCAGCCGCAGACAAACTGGAAGCCAGAGAGAAGCGGGGAGAGGTCCACCGAGGCAAAGCCAATCACCCTTTCCTCATCTGTGGGAGAAAGAGAAGAGCAGTGTGGCTAGGCATGTCTTGCCACTGAGATTAGAGGTTGCACACAGAGAAACTGATTTAGGGGACTGGGAGGTTTAGTGGTTCCAAAGAAGAGACAGATAATGAGGATGAGACTGACAACCACAGCCTGCTTTCACTATTATGGATTAACTAGAGGCCTGGTGCATTTTGTCTACCGGTAGGGTCCCTCGGCCTGGCCTGCACACTCTCTCAATCTGCAACCCCTTGGGGATGTCGGAGAGCCGGTTTCGGCCCAATCCCCACTGGCCAGGCAGAGAGACCCCACCGGTGCAAGAATCTGTGCACTGGGCCTCTAGTATGCATATAAGATCTTCAGTTAATCTCTTCCTGCCCTCCCCTTCCTTCTGAGATTCATCAGTCTGTTCCATGTTTCCATGCCTGTGCATTGAGCGTCTGCCCCTGGTGGTCGGTGCGTGTCATAGCTACTGGTCGAACAGAACGGTCGCTTAGGCTTTTATATATATAGATAATTATACACATGACCAAGTAGTGTTTATTCCACTTAGGCTTATTCCAGGGATTGAAGACGGATTCACTATTTGAAAATTAATCAAATAATCCACCACATTAATAGGCTAAAAAAGAAAAATCACATATGATCATATCAACTGATACAAAAAAAAAGATTTGATAAAATTCAACACCCATTCAACATTAAAAAAGCTCTCAGAAATACAGAAATAGAGGGGAATCTCCTCAACTTGATAAGGAGCATCTACCAAAAGCCTACAGCTAACATTATATTTAATGACAAAAGATGGGATGCTTTACCCCCACCAAGATCAAGAACAGGAAGCAAGGACGTTTGCTCTCACTGCTCTCATTCTAGCAATGTAATGCTAGCACTAGCCAGTGCAATAAGCAAGAAAACAATAAAAGACATAAAGCTTGAAAAGGAAGAGATTAAACCATCACTAATTTGCAGATGGCATAATGTCTACATAGGAAATACCAAGGATTTTACCAAAAAACTCCTAGAATTAATGAATGAGATCTACAAAGTTGCAGGATACAAACTAAATATACAAAAAAGAATTGTATATCTATGTCCAAGCAATGAACACGTGGACACTGAAATTAAAAAGCCAATACCATTTCCAATTTTAAAAAATTAAGTGCTTAGGTATAAATCTCAGAAATAGTACAGGAATTACATGCTAAAAACTACACAATACTGATGAAAAAAATACAGAGGACTACTATGTTTCCTGATCAGAAGATTCAACATAGTAAAGACATCTATTCTTTCCCAAATTCCAGCAAATATTTTTGTAAATATATGATATTCTATAATTACTATAGAAAGGGAAGTGGCCAAGAACTGCTAAAATAATTTTGAAAAAGAAGAATAAAGTGAGATGATCAGTCTACTAATTTTAAGAGTTATGTATAACTATAGTAATCAAGGCTTGATATTGGCTTAGAATGGACACAGCTCAATAAAACAGAAAAGAGAACTCAGAAACAGACCTACATAAGTATGCCAATGGATTTTTAACAAAGGTGCAAAAGCAACTGAATGGAAAAAGGTGTTAAAGCAATTAGACATTCATAGGCAAAAACAAACAAACAAACAAACAAAAAAACCATGACCTAACTCCCACACTTTATACAAAAATTAACTCAAATGGATCGTAGATTTAAATGTAAAATTTTAAGCTATGTAACTTTTAGAAGGGAAAAAAGAAAAAAAAATCTTCAGAATCCAGGGCTAGGCAAAGAGTTCTTAGACTTGACACCAAAAGCATGATTCATAAAAGGAAAAGTCAATAAATTGGACATCCTTAAAATAAAAAAACTTTTGTTCCTCTCTCCTTTTTTTCTTTTTTTCTTTTATTCTGGGATTTATTTACCTTCTATGGCTGTCACTAGAGCTGAGAGCTGGCTTTAGCTCTGAGGCCGGCTCCAGCTTGAGGCCTCGGCTGCTGAAAGCAGGTATCTGGTTTGTTTGGGTTCTATAATTGCAACATTGTTTCGGTCCTGCTCGCTCCAGCTCTGACGGCTGAAAGCAGGTATCTGGGGTTTTTTTTGCTTCTATAATTGCAACATTGTTTAGAAGAGAGCAGCTCAGAGGCCGGCAAGGCAGGCAGGGAACCTTGGCTTCCTCCATCACTGGAACAAGCAAGCCTCCTGTTCGCAGCTGCCTGATTACCATGTTTTATTATTATTATATATATATAAACTAGAGGCCTGATGCATGAAATTTGTGCAAAAGTAGGCCTTCCTTCCCCTGGCTGCCAGCACCTTCACTCTGGAGTTACAGTTAATTACCATGTTTCTCTATTATTATATATATATAAACTAGAGGCCTGATGCATGAAATTTGTGCAAAAGTAGGCCTTCCTTCCCCTGGCTGCCAGCACCGGCTTCACTCTGGTACCCGGGACCCGGGCTTCCCTCCAGCACCCAGGCTTCCCTCTGGCACCCGGGACCCGGGCTTCCCTGTGGCCACCTGCAGGCACCTGGGACCTGGGCTTCCCTCCCTCCAGCTGCTGGCAGGCACCCGGGACCCGGGCTTCCCTTGCAGCCCCAGCTTCGTCTGGAAGGACATCCAGTCTAAGTAGCATATTACGCTTTAATTATTATAGATTCCCTTTTGGTATGGCAGGGAAAAGCTGGCAGGGTTGAGATGTGTCCTCTTGATACAGACAACTGGAGAGCACTCTTAAATATAAGAAACTTGTTCTTGTCCCTTGGTTATTGTGTCTTAGTGATTTTCCTCAAGGGACTGGGTCTTGAAAGAAAGCATTTGAAAGACCATCACCCCTGGAATTTTGAGGGATTTATTTGCATTTTCTCACTATGCTTATCTGTATTTTCAAAATTTTTGATAACATATTTAATTTAAAAATCACAAAAGACAAATAATCCCCTAGAAAACTAGTACAGTGTGCAAAATGAGCTTAGGCTCTGGCTCCTAAGGGGGCTGCCCTTAATGACTGAGAAGATCCCTTTCTTGGCCACACAGTTTGTAAACAGCAGAGCCAAGATTTGAATCCAGGTCTATATAAGACCAGAGGCTTATTCTTTTTATCCTGATAAATAAGTATTGAATTAATAAGGTGAGCCTTGGTCTGCTTTACAATCTCTGGAATACGTCAGAGAGAGGAGAGGAATAGAAAGCAAGACAGGAGTGTAGAGCCTAACTAAACGAAGCAGGAATTCCTAGTGTTGATTCAGAGAAAACCTATTTATGATCAGCTCCTGCTGTATTTATGAGGTGTGGGGACATAAGTGAATCTGAGGAAGCAGCATGGGAGGAACCATTTAAACCAGACCCACAGCATCACTTCCAAACAGGAGGACAGCAAGAGACAGGTAAGCTGATTTCCTTTATACTCTATTTTTCAGGTCTTTATTAGGCTTTGGGGTTAGCTCTAAAAACTTACCACTAGCAAACAAAAACTGTGATGCTGTGGATGACTCAA